TTATTGTTTTAGCACAAGAATTTATCTCAGTACTAAGAGGTTCACTGAACATCTTTTTTTTTGGGGGGGGGTTAAAAAAATTGCAAAATACCTAAGTGTCTAAGAGGAAACAGGTTAAATAGATTATGGAATGTCCGTATGATCAATGTTTAATGAAATGGTAAATCATTTGCTATTAAAAACATTATGATGTGAGATATATATAGATCATTTGATATATGTATCACATGGTACCTTTATCAAAAGCATGTCACTTTAATTTTTTTAAAAAAAGATTTTATTTATTTGACAGAGAGAGCACAACAGGGGGAGCACCAGGGAGAGAGGGAGAAGCAGGCTCCCCATTGAGCAGAGAGCCCGATGTGGGGCTCAATCCTTGGACCCTGGGATTATGACCTGAGCTAAAGGCAGATGCTTAACTGCTAACTGAGGCCACCCAGGTGCCCCCAAAGCCTGTCACTTTAAAGAACTGACAGTGTTTGTTGCCAACAACGTTTGACCTTTCAAGTAAAGATTAGAATTTTGGAAAACTTGTAGTTGTCACTTACAGCTTCACAGCTTCCGATTACTTAAAAGACATTTTTTATGAAATCAGTGGTGATATTAACAAGTATGAATTTTTAGTATTATAAAATGAGCTCTGTCAACATTTGGAAGACACACATAACACCGTTACCCAATGTTTTCTAAAGGATCAATACATGATGTTAAAAATCATTCACTGTTAAAAGAGCCGAAGTGCAAGATAAATAGATTTAATGTAACAGAGTTAGCAAAAGTTGATTATATAGTTTTGGATTCCACAAGGTGACTAACTTTTAGAAACTATTTGTTGTGGCACCTGGGTGGCTCAGTCTGGTAGGGGTCTGACTTCAGCTCAGGTGACTAACTTTTAGAAACTATTTGTTGTGGCACCTGGGTGGCTCAGTCTGGTAGGGGTCTGACTTCAGCTCAGGTCATGATCTCAGTGTCCTGGGATAGAGTGCCAACTGGGCTCCCTGCTCAGCATGGAGTCTGTTTGTCCCTCTGCCCCTCTCTCTGCTTGAACTCTCTCTTTCTCTCATAAATGAATAAAATCTTTAACAAAAAGAAACTATTTGTTGTGTTTTGATGTGGAATCAAAGAACAATGCCCACATTTGTTTGAAAATCTATTAAATATTTAAAATATTAACATGTTCTCCTTCTTTTCCTATTGTGTGAAGCCATATTTTCTTCATACAAACCAAACCAAACCAAAACCAAACAAATAATAGATACAACGCATTGAGTGCAGAAGCAGATATGAAATTTTTAGGCCTGATATTATGTAATTTGCAAAATTTAAAATAATACACTTTTCCTAGTAATTTTTAATTTTGGAAATATATTTTTCATAAAAGTATACATGAATAGGTTTAGTAATACACTTAAAAATTGTTTTTAATTGTTTTAATTTCTACTCTGGTAAGTATCAACTGATGTAACACAGAAACAAAAGCTCTCAAAGTACTTTCAGGACTCCAGAAACTACTCATTAAGAAAAATGGAAAGGCAGGCCACAGACTAGGTAAAAACACTCAGGACAATGCATCTGACCACAGGACTTAAACGCAGAATATATAAAGAATTCCTACAAATCAGTAATAAAGACAACCCAATAAAAATGAGCAAAACATTTGAGGACATTTCACAAAATATGTACAAATGGTCAATATGCATATAAAAAGTAATGTTCAACCTCGTCAGTCATCAGGGAAATGCAAATTAAAGAAAGGTACAAGGTGCCACTACACATCCACCAAATCACTGAAACTGAAGACTGACACCACCAAAGGATGAAGATTCAGAGCAATGGGTCTCTCACAGGTAGGGGTATAAAATAGTACAACCACTTTGGAGAACTGTCAGTTTCTAATAAAGTTAAACATACAACGATATTCTATGACCTAGTACTCCAAGGTAGGTACCCAAGAGTGAAAGAATATGTCCACAAAAAAAGATGTGCAGATTCACAGTTTTATTCACAATAGTCCCCAAATTGGAAACAATCCAAATGTCTACCAACAAGAGAATGAATAAACAAAAGTTTGTACAATATACTACTGCTCATTAATAAAATGGAACATATTACTGATATATGCAACATGGATGAATTTCAAAACCTTATGTTGAGAGAAAGAAGGCAGACACAAGAAAATAGTATATACTCTTTTGATTCCATTTATATGAAACTCAAGAACAGGTACAAGAAACATACAGTGATGGGAATCACAGTGGTCTCTTCTGGGGTAGGGAGTACTAACTGCAAAGGAGCACAGGGAACTTCCTTCCATGATGCAAATAATCACAATTCAGGCAATGGTAACAGTATATACATTTGTTAGGACTGGCTCTTTTTGTTTAAACTGGACTTAAACGAGTTTAAAAAAAAAAAATGGAGAAGGTACTGATAATGAGCTCTTAAGCGGAGTAATGGGCACACAGGTATCCACAAAAGCTTGCTTCATTCTGTGCTTAACAGCAGAATTTTCTTCGGAAGTGGGGAAAACGTGGCTACCTGAAAGCTTTTTATCTGGACTACTCAGATGTTTTGATATGGCGTATAGCTTTTTTTTTAAAAACGCATTTTAAAAAGTCATCAATAGAGTTAAATAAATGTGTTTCATAAATAATCTTAAATTCTGTGTTAATAATCCACCTAATAAAACTGAATCCCCATGCAAGCGAAGGTGTTTATCTTTAAGTAATTTTATATGCTACTTTCTCTTATGGAGATATGCACATGTCTAAAAAGTTTACATTATTTGCTGATATTGTGTAGTATTCAACATTTAATCACTGGAAAAAGTCATTCTAGATTTATTTTTCACTGTTTTTATGCTGATAGTTATAATTCTACATGCTCTTTTCACCATATTGATTAAGGGAATTATTTAAACTTTATTTGCCTCCATCTGTTCTATGAACTCTGGTTCTACTGATTGGAAAAACTTCGGGTAACTGCTACTGTGGAGGCTTTCTAACCCCATTTTAGGTACAATGGAGACTATGGTGTCAAGAAAGCCACCAAGAAAATGAATTAAAAGATATTTAATCCATTAAACTTCACAAAGTTTTTCCAAAGACTAGTATCTCTTGTATCAATCTTTTTGCCTTAAAAGTTTGAAAGGGATTTTCGGAAAAATTATGAAAATGCTCTCTTTAAAAATTTAAGAAGATAAGACTATCTGATGAGTTTTAAAGTCAATTTCCTCTATATAAAATTTTGGGGGTTTATGTACCAGGATACCAGAAATAGAATAAAAAAATATTGCTAGCTTTCTGAATAACTAAGAAAAATACATATTTAGCACTGCACTCAATTTCTAGAATGAGTATATAACTATTAAGTCTGTTAACATGAGCCTCATGGGGTATTTGCTTGAGATTTTTATGATTATGAAGTTTGCAGCATGTCTAGCATTTGTAATTCATTTCTGAGATCTCATGACTGAAGAGAGTTGAGCTATTCTTCAGAGGCTGTTGCCCCAAAATGAGTATTTCTGTAATTTTACTACTGCCCAAAGTAAACACTGGTGTTTGGCTTAGAGTCACATGGGAGTGGGAAGTAAAAAAACATTTAGCACACATTTCACTCTTATTTTTTCTATAAAAATATAACTCTTTATTAAATAACATGCACAAATATCAACTAGTCATTTATTAAACAGATATGATTTAGAACAAGATTTAAAGAAATACAAATCCTTAGGTACAATTTAGTATATCTTGTTCATGATATTTGAATAGTTAAAAAAAAAAATCACTGATTAAACTAACCATCCTTTATTTCTCTTTCAGAATCCTAAATCTTTTTAGGTATATACCCCATTCCAAGTTTTTTCCTAGTATTTCAGAGCTTTAGAATATAAAGCTCCTAACTACTTACTTAAGTATAAATTCCACCGAGAAGGCATTCAACTTTTCGTGTAAGCTATCTGATCAGCTTTGAGTCACTTTACAAGGAAACCTGCAGAAGCAGAAGCATGGCATCAAGGCTCCAGCAACTGGAGGTACCACTGAAGAGGGTGAGAACTAGGTTAGTATGTAAAAAGCTGGGACAACTAAAATATGCCAGATTCCTGCCTGCTTGTTCTCTTCTGCAGCTTGTTCTGTTTGGCCAAACAGTGATTTCCCCTCCTTTTCCAGTTGGACCCTCAGAACAAGATGCTGTATAAATTTACACCTCTCATATTTTCTATGACTTCAATGCTCAATAATCTGGTTTTTTAAGTTTTACGCAAAAGTATAAACAAAATTTGCATTGAGTTTTTCCATATTAAAAAGTATTGCTTTTATAAATTAGCTTTTAATGTTCCCAGCCTTAATAAACTTAACTTCAACAAAACCAGTGCTTCAAAATCTACCCTGCCTTTCTTGGCCCCAAGTATTCAATAAAAAAGGCCCAAATATCTCATCTAAATTTCTAAAGAACACTACATCCAACCTTTATAATAAAGTCCTTGCACTGTGTATCTTTTACACGTGCTGCTTTATTGCGCATGCCAAGTACAGTATGAATTAAAATATAAATTGACGTAAAAATTCAAAAATCCCTAAGCTTAATATATACCTTTGCACTCAAAAACTTCAGTTTTTACATTCTCTCCCATTAGCTGGGATTTCCAACTTGCTTGCTGAGTTTAAGTCACTTTATTCCTCATATATCCTTTTTACTTTTCTCTATCAGAATAAAAAATATCCAGCATTATTTTATAATTCAAGAAAGTACTGTGGAAAGTTCTGTAAATTTTATCTCATATACTTATATTCAATTTTACTGTAACCTAATTTTCCTTTCAAAAATGTTTAATAAGTTGAGCAGATTTCAGACCTGAAATATTCCTGAATATTTAATCTACTTCATGTTATAGAAGAAACTGGGTTTTTTCTAAGTATATTGCTAATTATTTTATTAAAAACAGCATACCAAATCTTATTTTAATTATAAAATTCTGAAAATTATATGTTTTGCATCTTGATACAAGGAAAAAATACAACATATTAATCAATTTTTCATAAATATTGAAGAGATTGATCAGAATATGCCTGTTTCTTGTACTTTTGACTACCAAATATCTCTTTTTTTGATTTGAGTACTCAGTTTGTATTTTAAAAGTGCAAAGGTTATTAAGCTTAAAACATTATATTTAAGCAATGTAAAAAAGTTTTACAATGATTTAACATGACCAATAAAATTTATTAAACATATTTACATATATTCACAGATTCTTTCATACTTGAGTATTAAAATAGACATTTACAACTTCAGATTTTTCATTCAAAGGCATTTTGGGAGGGGGAATGGGTTCTACTGTGTGAGATGAAATAAGAGCTGTTTCTTTGCATGACTAATTCTAAATAATGTGTCCAACATAGTGAGTCATAGGTACTATCCCAGGAGACTGGCATGAAACACCCTACACTACTTCAGGCATTGCTTATGGAGAGAGTTAAACTGTAGGAAGCATGCAGTACAACTAAGTCACAACCTTTACAGTTATGGTGATGAAAACAAGCTAACTCAAACACATGCAGGCCTTATTTAAAAGTTTTGCTACCTGAACACATTACTACTACACTCCATACAAACGACAACTTTGGTCCAATAAAACATTAGACACAACAGCTTTACAATTATTTCTTTGTACATGTTTTGACTACCAATCCCTTTGTATACATTTTGACCATTAATTACAAGATTTACATCTGCACAATATGTATAAAATAAGTTATTAAAAAGGAAGACAATATTAAAACTTTGAAAAGAAAACTGTACAATTAATTTACAGATAAAATAAACTGAAGAAATTTTGTGCCAAGTTTTTCTTCCACATTAGAAACTATTTGGTAGGAATTGAACCTTTTAGTTTACCAATATATTTTAATAAAACTTTAAAGATTTGAATACTAGTGGTTATCTTGTTACTTAGGAGCGCTAACAACTTCCAGTGCTGTTAGCAGATTCTCAGCTTTTGAAATATCTACCACGGTCTGCCAACATGCTCTAATGTAATAGTTACCTCTCACCAATATAAATACTAGATTTCAGTTAGAAACTGGATCTAGGATCCAAAATAATTCTCTTTTCATTCTTTATAAAATGACAGTGTTTACTACATACATAACCAACTTTAGTCAAACTTTACTAACAACTGTAAAGGCATAATATCAGTATTTTTCTCAAAAGGCAGTGTTCCACAGTTTAATACTCTTGAGCCACATGAGTTTAAGACGACACCACCAGAAGGAATGGCTGCTATATGGGAGTTAATTCAAAGTCATCATTAACATCAACAAGGGGAACATAAAACTCCTGGATTTCATAAATACTGATAGATTTATAGGTGGCAGGATCAAGTTCCTGGAGTTTGAGCTGCCATTCTAATCTCTGGACGGCATTTAAAGCTGCAGCTTCATGTTGTTGTCTCATTAAAAGACAGGTCTATTGAGAAGAAGAGAAGAGTTAACTGATTTTTCTGTCAAGTTTGCTTTAAAAATTAATCTCACCCATAGTTTCCTTAGTGATTAAGTTTTTAAATTACACACCCATTTCTGCTTTATCCTGTCTGTATCCATATGCCAACTATTTCTGGGTCTGCAACTTCACAACTCTCTGACCTCACAGACTAATTTGAAACTGCTCTTTCAAATAATGAGATTTCAAATTATCAAAAGAATCATGAACACCTTAGAAGTGATTTTTGAAATGATTTTAAATCTCCAACCAGATAATTTTCTTTATGAATTATTTATAGTATATATTCTTTCTCTGATTGCCCTCCCCCATTCTTTCATTGTCAGAACGATCACTAGACTTAGATACTGGACAGCAAGCATAAATATCCCCATCAGAAACTGCTACTTCTGTGATAGTTTCAACTTTCATACTACACTGGTCTTGAAAAATGGACTTGTGCTCTTTATTTTCCTTTACTTTCCAACTGTAGCCGGCATGAGGATGCATGACTAATGGCTATCTCCTTTCCTAACAGAGCTACACTTTCCATTTAAGAGGGAAGCATCCATTTAAACTGAACTTAAATATACATACCTTTAATTTGTCAAATTTATCATCCACATCTTGTAACCAAGACATGAATTGTCTTGCATTAAAGCGATCCCTCACAGAAGTTTTACTGTCATCAGACTGAAAGAGAACATCAAAAGTAGTTGAATACTATACAATTTACTAACCAACTTTAAAACCTATATGCCATTATATCTCTTTATGGTATAATGGAATGATGAAAAGAAAGATGGAAACATTTTGAAAAAAGATAAAATGTAATTTTTTTATGCCTAGGACATTCTTATTAAAATAAAATTGATTTCATTTCTCATTTTAATTTTAATGTTAATGTTTACCGTATGTAGGGAGAAAAAGTGTTAAGGTGAGCTACAGCACTTTAAGGCCAACATTTTTTCCAGGACCAGTATTTTGGAGTGATCATAAAGAAATTCTTTATCAATTCTTAAGAATACCAGTTTTGGAATTAAGACGGCTGTATTCAAATGCCAGCTTTGTGTCTTATTATGTAATCTTGAACTAATTATATACTTTCTCAATTTTCTACTCCGTAAACAGGGCTGAATACCTCTTTTAATCTTGTTTTGAGAATTAAGCCTCTGACGTCCTCATCACAATGCTTGGGCGTACAGGCAGCACTCACTCCAATAAACATCTGCTGTAATTACTGCTATTACTATTACCACCGCTGCTATCCAAGTGACATCCAGGCATCATGTAGATGCTCCCAGTTTTAGCTGTTATCACTTCCTCCTTGGTCCTCTGTAAGATGTTTTTAGTATTTAAGATTTTATTATTGAATCTTTTTAATATTACAAGCTTATTTTGAAAAGGAAGAGGTCTGACGAGAAAGCAGGCTAACGGACGATCTAAGCCCTTAGCTAGGAAAGGTAGACGACTTCTCCTTTCCGTTAATTCCTCGGTGGCTCTTCTCACAGGAGCCCGCTACTCACTGAGAGACCGTCTACTCTAAAGCCAGAGGAGAAGGACGGGTAAGAGTTCCATAGTTTTCCTCAAGAGAAGGACAAAGTTCTTCTGTCCTTTAATTATTAGGCCGATCATGGCCTAATCTTCTTTTAGTTTGTGATTTGGGGATCCTTCTAAGGGTTTACTGAGAAAACTCACTTATTTTTGATGTTCTCCTCTAACCTATCTGGGGCAACAGATTCTTATTTATCAGAAACGTCATCCTGTTGTGGTCCAGTGGCTTTCCATCTCAATTTCCAGTTCTGCTATGGATTGCTTTTTATTTTTACATCTTTTGTCATTTCGGTGAGTTTTGGAAGGAAGACAAAATAAAAAGGTATGTTTACTCAACCACTGTGAACCAGAAATCTTCAAGAGACTTTCCTTGTAGCTTAATTTATATTGTTCTAAAGTTGACTTCATTACTCTATAATTGCACAAAACTTTAAAAGATCTCAAGATATTTCATTGTCTAGTCCAGCCTTTAGTAACATAAACTGTTCATTTCCATTATTAAAAACCATTCATTCTTCCCTTTAAATTCTTTAAAGCTGAGAATTATGTAAATTCCCTCAGTGGCCTTTTCCAAAGTGTATTTCCTTAGAGTCAAATAGTTCTTTCTTAAGATCCAATTATTTTATTATTATTTTAGAGAGAATGCATGCAAATGGTAGGTGGAGGAGTAAAGGGAGAGGGGGAGAGAGAATCTTAAGCAGGCGCCATGCCTGGTGTGGAGCCCTACGCAGGGCTTGGTTTCATGGCCCTGAGAGATCATGACCTGAGCCGAAATCAAGAGTCAGATCCTCAAAAGACTGTGAGCCACCCGGGCTCTCCCCTTCTCCCACAATTATTATTCTTAATAGCCTTTTCAAATATCTCTGAATACTTTCATTTGGATAAAACAGTCAGTGACGTAAAGTTCGAAATCCACTGTTCTAGTTTAATCTTTTTATGAGTTTTAATCTTTTTATGTTTTAATGCCCAATTATTTTAATGACATAGTTAATTTATAATTAAATTTTATTTTTTAATAATTTTTAAATTTTTTAGCATATATTTTTATTAACATATAATGTATTATTTGCCCCAGGGTACAGGTCTGTGAATTGCCCAGGTTTACACACTTCATAGCACTCACCATAGCACATACCCTCTCCAATGTCCATCATCTTTTTTTTTTCTTACAGAGAAGAAAAATAAAGCCCAGAGAGAACTAAGTAATTTTCTCTGTAATATACCCTACATCCTTTGTGTTTCTATTCTGACTTAAAACAGCATTTCTTAATACTTTTGTGTAATAATCCTTCACTGTCCATGCTTACTCTTTATTTTAATCATTATATTCTATGACCAATGAATTTCATTCTCGTTTGTGAGGCACAAGATATTCTGACAACTGATATGTCTGGTTCTGAATTCGTATAATTTCTATGTGGCAGTAAACTCTATTCAAGACATAGCTACAGTTTTTTTCCACAACTATATTTGTTTATTCCAGAAATATCCAAGACCAAAACAAGACCTGGCCCTATTTTAGCACCATCACAATCTAGAGGTTCAATTTGCCTGTAGTGTCTTCCAGCTTACAGTTGCTTTCCAGTTGCCTGAAGGTACAAACACCCACTTTAGAAACAAATTACAAATTATGTAAAAGGGCACTATTCTAAACACATATTGGTTTTGTAAATATCAGCTTTTATAATCTGAGCCTGATGTTTAGAGGATTTTAGAAAAAAGATCAAGTGATCTAGAAGTACTTTATTCTGCCAGAACTGTTTTTCTCTTTTGAGTTTTATTGATTGCTGGATTCAAGTTTCTTCTGTGGGAACAGATCACAAAAGCACCCAAGCTCTATTTAGGAACATTTTAACTGTATCAATGGCACTTTACCTGAGCGTCCAGCGGCACACTGTACACTTCTGCGTCCAGTAACACAGTGCATGCGCTAAATGGCAGTGTTTGATTTGCCAATGTTCTTGCAGCTCTGTAATGAACTCGTAGAACTTCCTGTTCATTGGATACAATGAGTTTTTCCTAGTTGAACCAAGAATAAAAAAAAAAAACCATAGTTCTTCAATCACCTGTTTTTTCAAATAAAATAAAATTACTTAAAATGTACTAAAGGACCTGAATTTCAGAGAAGCTTTTTTTTTCTTAAAGATTTTATTTATTTATTAGGGAGAGAATGAGAATGTGCCCAAGCAGGGGGAGGAGCAGAGGAAGAGGGACAAGCAGATTTCCGGCCAAGCAGGGACCCTGATGTGGGGCTCGATCCCAGGACCCCAATATCATGACCTAAGCCAAAGGCAGACGCTTAACTGACTGAGCCACTCAGGTGCCCCTCAGACAAGTTTTTTCTTCACAGAGATTGAGAGATTTGAGAACTCGAATTGTTCTAAAAGTATAAATAAATGTTCTTTCCAAAAGCGGCAGGCTTTTTAAAAAAATTATCTTTTCAAGTGTACAATGGTGGCTTTTAGTATAGTCACCAAAATGTTCAACCGTCACCATTAATTTCAGAACATTTTCATCACCCCAAAAAGAAACTCCATATCTATCAACAGTCATACCCCATATACCTCCTCTTCCCCTGGCAATCACTACTCTACTTTTTGTTTCTATGGATTTACCTACTCTGGATATTTTCTTACGAATGGATCCATGGAACATGTGGTATTCTGTAACTGGCTTCTTTCATGTCACATGTTTTCCAAGTTCATCTGTGTTACAGCATGCGTTAGTACTCCATCCCTTTTTATGGCTGAATAATATTCTACTATATAAACACACCACATTTTCTTTATTCATTCATCAGCTGATGGTCTTTTGGGTTGTTCCTAGCTTTGTGCTATCATGAATAAGGCTACTATGAACATTCACACTCAAGTTTTTGCTTGGATGCAAATTTCCTTTTCTCTTAGGTAAATAACTAGGAGTGGAGGTACTAGGTCATATCGTAGTTCTATGTTTAACCTGGTGAGAAACCGCCAAGTCATTAACAGCAGTTGTAGCATTTTACATTTCCATCAGCAATGTATGAGGGTTCCAATTTTTTCACAATCTTGCCAACACTTGTTATTATCTTTTATTATAGCCTTTCTAATGGATGTGAAGTGCTGTGCCATTGTGGTGGTAGCTCGTTTTATGATGAACATTTTCATAGAAACAAACACTGTACCTTGATGCTGATATTAAACCTCTGACAATCACAGTACAATCCTGTCTTAAAATGTGTTAACTGGGGTGCAATACTTCCAGTTATGTAATATGCAAACTCACCCTATCATAAAGTTAATGAAGTCATCAGGCAATCCTCTGCATTTATTAGACTGGGAATCCTAGGGTATAGCTACAATCCCAACCCATGGCGATACTGGTTGCAGACTTGTGCCATCTGGTGGTAACTGTCTTCTTCGGTTTAAACATCGGTGGGGGCAACCCTAGGACCGGTGGCTGGTTAGAACTTCAAGGATTCCTGAGTTCAGGAATCCTTCCATTATAAGATGTCCATCATTTTGTTGGTTCTATCTGGCAGACTGAGCTGATAAAATATTAAAGATGTGGCTGGTATTCTTCTCACCACATTCCCTATTCTCTCTTGACAAGAACTTTATTCTTCCCCTACTGGAGGACGGAGGCCTCACCATATCCAAGTATGTATTACTATAGAGTTTTACTGTATTTATAATTTAGTGAAAACACAAACACAGTCCTATTTAATCTCTTTTAAATTTTATGTAACAAATGATACTCAAAAGAGAAGAGGTAAGTCTAACACTTATGATTCATTAAGTACAAGTTTAAGGTGGGACTTGAAGTGATAATATATCCAAAAAGTTGATGAGATGCTAAGAAAAAATAACTAGAAGTTTTCCTAAAAGATTGGCCATAATTGTATAGAGATTAAGAGCAATAACCAAAAATGAAGTCAGACCCTAAAAAAACTAAGAGATACACTGCTTAAATGACAGCCTAAATATTTCACTTTAGGTCATCATTCCTTTTTTTTTTTTTTAGGTCATCATTCTTAATGTTATGTCTTTGCACTTCCAGAGCATCGCTTCTTAAACAATGTCTTCTGAGAATGGGTTATGCATGCCCCAAAGTACTCCCCACCTTAGTTCTTGGAGAGGCAGAGTGGGGCATGACGTAGTTCAAGAAACTGGGCCAGGAACTCTGGGCTGTAAGATGTGTTTGTTCATTCAGTGCTCATTCAAGTATCGTCATCACTTTCAAAGGGAAAAATGACTCTAGAACAGAGGTTCTTGACTTGGGGTCCTAACATTGCCAAGAAGCCCGTAGATAGACTGGGGAAAGTGTCATCTGTGAACCTGGATGTAAAAAATTCTTTATTTTTTATTAACCTCCAACTGACATTTCTTTCAATTATGAATATAGGCCACAAACCACAGAAATATCAAAAGTATCTGCAACTTTGCCATCCATAGAAATCACAAATATTTTCAATTCATATTGTAAGTGTTACAGATAATTGCCCCCAAATGGTATCATTGTTTGCTGTCACACTGGTGAGGCATTTTAAATTGTCTATTGGTCAATATATGAAAGCACGTGAGTAATTTTTACTATCTGCTAAAGTTTTGAAAATTGCACAGTACAAATAAGAATTCTTAACTACCTATAAGGCAGCATGGCTTTTGTTACATGGATAGATGAACAGATGAAAATATGTTACCAGGTGGCTTCAAACATGCCTGATGGTTGAAATAGCTATTGATGTGTATAATGTGACTTAACTTCTTATTGAGAACAAAATATTCACTGCCATAGGTCATGCACAATGTTGTAAGGTCTGTATCAGTGCTTCTTTCTTTTACTGTTCTCTTTGCAATGCTATAAATTTATTAATTTAAAAAGATAATTTTGAGAAAAGGTTTTATATTTACCAGATTGTTACACGGGTCTCATGGCATAGAAAAGTGAAAAACCTCTGCCCTAGGAAATCAGTTATGTAAGAATCAAACAAACTGCATACTTTTGTTTGTAAGAGTATATATATATATATGCCTCTATAAAGAAGGAACACATTTCATACCAAGTTTCAGAAGTCCCTGGCCCTCCCAAAAGATTAAGAAGGTGCTACATTTTTGTCAATCCAAGTGAAATGAATTTTATGATTTCTATAAATAGATAGGTTTTCTCACATCATCCCATGCCAAGATTAACCACTAGAAACTAGAATACGAAAGCAGAAATCTAAGGACCAATAAGAACAGCTTTTCTAAGTATTCTGCACTGAAGCAGAAAACTTGGAAATCCAGCTATCTAACTAGGAATTCATCACTTTAGTTCCACAAATTCAGCAAATGATAACAAGAAATTATTAAGAGATTTTTTATACATCAAAAATACACTCAACACGAACTGTAACATAAGGACAGCTACCCTAAAACAGGCTTATAAATTCCCTAACTACACAGGTACAAGATAACAAAATCAAACCATTTCCCAAAATGGTTCTAAATAAGGAAAATCCCCTAAGGCAGTTACGTGTGTGTGTATATATAAAATATATACATATACACATAAAATATAATGTAGGTCATTATGATCTATTGTTAAAATACAATAATTTTTTGCATAAATTTAAACACTTCTTACCCTTTCAATACTGTGTTGCAAACGTAGTTTCATTCTTACAACTTCTTGTTGCCGAAAAAGCTCTTTAAGTGGATCTGACAGTGAAGGTGGTGGTGTAATCTAATTTTTAAAAACATACATTAGTTAAAAATACAACGAGCTATTCCTAATTTTTAACAAAGTTTTATTTATTTAAGTAATCTCTACACACAATATGGGGCTCAAAATTACAACCTCAAGATCAAGAGTCAGATCTCTTCTGACTGAGCCAGCTAAACCTCTTTCTGGATCAGTTAATAAAAACATAAATTATCATGTTCTCTGAATTAGATAATACAGTAACAATTATACAACCGATTATTCTCAACTTCGAAGTCTGAAGCACAGAACATACCGATAAACTTAGATGTTTTAATTCTGAGGCCACAGCAAATTTCAAAGAGCAAATTAAAAAGCCTAAGGACTAAGGAAATTCCTTTTTTACAGAGACACATTTTAGAGCATCAGTAAGTGACAGCTCATAAACAGGGAGGGAGGGTTCACAAAAGCAGGGGGAAAAAAACAAGCAAACAGTCTGGTCCTAAAGGTTATAGCAGCCTGAGTCTTAGTGTAGTAAACATAAAGTCTCTTTGTAGACAGAATACAAATCAAAAAGTGGTGAGTTTTACATTTACTGAATTAAGTCTTTTATAAAAAGATGGAATTATCCTCTAATAGATCTGTAGTTTTCAAACTTCTTTATTATAGGTGATAACCCATTTTGTCTTTCCGTACACCAAAAATCTTATGGTTGGTTCATCTCTAAATCGATTATTACAGTGGACTGCATTCTGGTATATGCTGGAGGTTAAGGAAGCAGATACCATCTATGCATTGTTACACAGTTAATATACAGACATCTGTGATCCCCTAATATTCTCCCTCTGTCTCTTGGAATATCTATATTCCCCCCCCCACCCCATCTAGCTTCTAACTACTGTCAGCATTTAGGGAAAAGTAAAGTATCTCAGTATGTTCAGGAACCATAGAATAACTTAGTTGACTTTTCTGATTCTTCAGAAGGTGGGACAAGCAGATTCTATGTATGTCTTGATGTGGGGCTAAAGGAATTATACACCATATATGAAAAGCTCTAGCCAAAGAATCAAACCTGGATCTGATTGGGACTCTATAAACAGTTTACAGGAATTATGGGGGAGTGAAAAAAATGTTAAATAACATCACATGATTTCACTCAGTTGAATCGATGCAGAAAATTCTACAGGACAAATAACTTACTGGGGCAGATTATTTATCAGGCCTCTAACTACAGTAATAAAATTGTTTGATTTCTGTGCCTTATAAACATCTTTAAGTTTAGTAAGAGTAACAGTGAAGTTTAGTGATACTATCTTGAAGTTTTCCAAAATCATAAAGGCTTCCTTTATGCAGGCCAGAGGAAGAGTATCTACTCCTTTGAGCCTGGGGTATCAGAGAAAACTTCTTGGAGAGGGTAATGCCTGAGGCTACATGTTAAAGGAAGAGCCAGAATCACAAGGTGAGAGAAATGCATTGTGGGGGGAAAAGGAAGGGAAAGAAGAGAGGGAGATAATTCCCAGAAGAGAGGGCAGTGTGATCAAGTGCACAAAACAAAGAGATAGTATGGTGTCTGGAAAAGTACAAGTTGTTCTGGAGACATCAACTTTGAGGGAAAGAATGAAAGGGCATGAAGATGGGGAGATCAGTAGGGGCAAAGTAATAAAGGTTGCAGTCTAATTCTGTAAACCAGCTTTTCTTTCCTTCTTTTTTTTTTTTTTTTTCAAGACTAGCTTAATTTTATTTTAGAGATTTTATTTATTTATTTAACAGAGAGAGGGAGAGAGAGCTAGTGAGAGTGAGTGCAGAAGCAGGGGGCGTGGCAGGCAGAGGGAGAAACAGGCTCCCAACTGAGCAAGGAGCCCAATGTGGGGCTGGAACCCAGGACCCTGGGATCGTGAGCTGAGCCGAAGGCAGATGCTTAACCAACTGAGCCACCCAGGCACACTTAGACTAGTTTTCTTAAAGTGTGTTCCACAGAACACTGGGCCCATAAACATGACTTGCAGGAAATGGTTCCAAGAATGAGTAAGTTTGGGAAAACTGTACATATATGCTTGCTTAGGTATCTAATTGACAAATTAAACTTATTCATTCTGAGAAGTCCTGCAGTGACAAAAGAAACCTATTATCTTTAGATTAACGGTGTTCCATTTCCCAAACGTATCTGACCATGAGCCCTCCCCACCTTGCCCCACCATCATCCCCATGTGTTTAATTACACACTGTGGAACAGATATTATGCATAACACATTAAGGTAAATTTTGTATGTGGTGGGAAACCACTGAAAGATCTTACAGTTCACTACTGTGTCTGCAGAATAGGTATTAGGAGGATAAGACTACAGGCAAGAAAGTAAGGAAGCAAATCACTGTGACCCTGGTATGAGGAGGAGGGAATGGAGGGGAAGGGGTCTAAAAATATGGTGACTAAGGATAAAAGAGAGGGCGTAGCTGCAGAGGACTTGTGAGTCCTTTAGCATGAGGACCAAATGGGTGGTAAGAGATAATCCAGGAGGGGAGAGGGGACAGGAGAAAGAGGGTTTTGGGTTAAATTCAGGCCTAATATGTCAAGTTTGTGGAGCTCATGGACATTCAAGTGGAGCTATGTCTATTTAGCAAAAAAGGAAGCTAAGAGAGGTTTGGGCAGAATACGAAAATTTGGAAATCTTCAACATCCATGTACAGAGAAATGGTAAAACCGCCAAAAACAAAATATATGGAGGCTTTCTGAGGAAACCTCCCCTTTCCTGTTTCCCCATCTATCTTTACATAAATCATGTTTGGAGCTTTTGTCTTTTAGGATCTGTTATTCCCAGGAGTCTCCAGAATATAAACTCTCCTGACAGATTCCCTTGGATGGTCTTCCTTCCTGACATCCACTCTTAGAATCTCCCTGTAGGGATCTGTGTGCTGGTACTCATAACCACAGTAGATACCAGGATGTGACAAGTCTTCACAGTTTTACCTATATTTTTCATTATTCTCCCCCAGTTCATTTGTCTTTTGGGAACCTGACCTACAGTTTTATTTTTCTTCCTTTGACTTTCTCTGGAAAAACAGCAGCATTCTGTCTAAATTATGAGAAAAATATGTGCTAGAATGACAAACACTTAAGCTGACTTTGGAGGTGTTTCACTACATTTCTAACAGGTTCTATAAATAGATCACACAACCGTGGAGAGATCAATTCAATAAAATGACAGCTGACAGAGGAAACAAATGGAAAAAATCATATTGGAACCTATTAAAAATAATGTAGTATAAAAGTGATTTTTGTTATTCTGGCTTTTCATTACTTTTTAGAAAAAAAGTATTGAACAAATGAGTTTCAGTCCAGTAAGCTCAAAAGCACAGCCTTTTATGAACAAAAGGTGGGGGGTTGCAAATTAACTCTAATAAATATGAACCTTAAGGTTATTTTGAGTGGGATAAAATAATGATAACCTCTTAAATCTATAAAATGTTTTAACATTTTTAATGGGTTATAACCTGTACTATTTCAACCTGCTTTGAGGTAGGGTTGGTATTATGGTTTTATGGATGTGAAAATTAAGAATCAGAGAAGGAATTATTTAAGATCACATAGCTGCTTTGTAGTAAAATCCAGACAAACTTACGTATACTACCTGGAAACTACTGCTCTTTCTACTATACTGTGCTGTGTGTTTCTTTAATAATTCTCATTAAAAACAAAAGAAAGGGGCGCCTGAGTGGCTCAGTTGGTTAAGCGGCTGCCTTTAGCTCAGGTCATGATCCCAGGGTCCTGGAATCGAGTCTCACATTGGGCTCCCTGCTAATTGGAGAGCCTGCTTCTCCCTCTCCCTGCCGCTCTGCCTACTTGTGCTCTCTACCTCTCTGTCAAATAAATAAAATCTCTGAAACAAACAAAAAACCCTTTACTACACTAAGAAAAAATTCTCAACTCTAGTTACAGCCCTTTCTGAAACAATATTTGATATAACTAAATTCTGATTTAATCATAGCTGTATCTCCAGAATTGCTGCAAGGGGATTAAACTTGTATTATGTCACCTTTGAAGGAATATGAAAAGGTAATCATAAACACAAGCACACATAACATATATACAAATATGTATGTCATACAAACAGGCAAGTGCTAAAAAGGCAACCTAATATGGTTTATTAGAATTGTTTTTAGTGTGGGGCACCTGGATGGCTCAGTGGGTTAAGGCCTCTGTCTTTGGCTCAGGTCATGGTCCCAGGGTCCTGGGATCGAGCCCCACATCAGGTTCTCTGCTCAGCAGGGAGCCTGCTTCCCTTCCTCTCTCTCTGCCTACCTCTCTGCCTACTTGTGATCTCTGTCAAATAAATAAGTAAACTCTTAAAAAAAAAAAGAATTGTTTTTAGTGTAATAGCTTATAAAAGTTTAACTTAAATGGGTTCTTCACAGTTTTACCTATATTTTTCAAGCCTACAATATAACATACTTCAGTTAAAATTTCTTACCCTTTAAGGGGAAACAAAAGAAACAACAAAACTATTAGCTTTATAATCTTTAAGTTATTAACAAATTATTTTGCTGAAAGAATTTTAAAAAATGACAAACTTATTTACAACTCTATTCTTTTAAATCTACTATTATTGCTTACTACTAGTAGGGTAATGTAAAAATCTGACTTTTTGATCTTCTCTGAACTAGGTTTTGAAAAAATAACACACACAAAGGCAGGATGTCAAACAGTATAGAATAGCCTAGGGAAGCATTATATACGGTAATAGGGTAATAACTACAGCCAAGCCTAGAGAAGTATGGGAGGGCCTGTAGACAATGATGGAAAGTTTTTCTACAGAAAACTGGGAGTCTATCTAAAAATGTTTAGCCAGATAGTCACAGAATCAGATCTGATTTATGTATAAGGCACCTGGACAGTAAGAAGGCTAGCTCGACAGAAGAGATTAGAATAGAACCTATAGTAGATGTTCAGAATGACTGTTTTGCTGGTTTCTGATATCTAGTTAGCACAGTGCTTAGCAAATGGTTATGAGTTATTTGATTATGCAGTACTTTGAATATCTGATTATGCAGTATTCACATATGTGAATGAACAGTTAATGGAGCTAATGTGGTACATACACAGC